GCCTCGTGTGGATCCTCTCGCAATTTCGCCCTCCTGTTTTTGTTCGTGGACAGGACGACCCTTTTGAGCTTTTTCTGGTGCCTGAGAGGAGGTTCGACCATGTCTGGTCGGCCTCGTGTGGACCCTCTCGCTTTTTCACCACCTCGACGGCGGTTTCGGACGTCGCCCATGCCTTCTTCGGCCCGTGGGTGGCGCACTTCTGGACCCCATTTCGCCTCGACTCTACGGTTTCGGACGTCGCCCATGCCTTCATCGGCCCGTGGGTGTCGCGCTTCGGGACCCTGTCTGGCCTCTTCCCTCGCCTCGGCGGTTTCGGACGTCGCCCATGCCTTCATCGGCCCGTGGGTGGCGCGCTTCGGGACCCTGCCTGGCCTCTCCTCTAACCGCGGCTCACGGTTCGCCTCGACGGCGGCTTCGGACGGCGCCCCGTCTAGCCTCTCCCCTGTCCACGGCTCCTTTCTCCCGGGGACACGGCTCCTTCCTCCCGAGGACTTCGTACCCGCCGCCGCTGTGCCTTCGCCTGCGGCCTGGCGGCGCTCCTCCCTGCTGGGGACCACCGGGATGTTCACGCCTGTCCCCACGTCGCAACACGTCGACCCTGCTTTCTGCGGCCCCCTGACGACGGCCCGTTCCGGCCCGCCCCCCACCCCCCGGTGGGGATGCCCTCGCCCTCGTTAGGGCCCCTACCCTCTCCTGCGGCCCCCTTCCGACGGCCCGTTCCATGGCCCGGCCCCGCCCTCCTCGGACCCTGTGGTGCTTCCTCCCGGACGCGAGGATTGTGTCCATGGTTGAATTCTGGGGGGGCTTGTGTAGTGATCACTAATTAACGGGGTTACATAATTCAATCAAGGAACTACAGGTTGGGGGTATTGTTTCCGCACGGACACATATGTTGACGGTACCTCCGGGGTATATACTGTGTCCTCCTCCCTTTTGCTTTCTCTTCTCTTCCCGGGCTGCGACCCGACAGCATGTCCATTTCTGCTGCTCAATAAAGCCAGATTTGCACCTTCGATGCACCGCCTCCGACTCCTATCTCTCGGCACTACAGTATCCACATTGCTTCTTCTGTTACCATTCAGAGAACAATATGCCTGCCAGTCACGCTGGATACAAACAGTTTAACACAGCTCAACTCGACACGGCTTCTCCAGACACGGTCAAAAACTGTTTGCTACTGCATCTGATCACCCAGTGAATTACATACACTCACAAGTGATTGCTCCATCTTGTGTTCAATGGCAGAACTGCATTTTACATTAAACTTGTGCAGATAAAATAAAAACATAGACACATACATTAGTCACAAAATGATGTTCAATCTGTGATATGGACACTGTTTAGTGTACGTATTAAGCAGAACAGAGTTGAATGAACTGTTCATAAATTCAGTCAAACTAGAATATTTTACAGGTTTAAATTTGAATATTCTGTCTCACAAAAAACTTTGGTAAAATGTCAAATGTTTTAAGTAAATGCAAGATTATTTAAAACTTATTTGCAATTATGAAAAACTGAAACATCCCACTTCTCCATGAAAACTGAACAAACCATAAGATTGTTATATGATATTGAAATCTCCAGAAAAAGCAAGCTAATGAACCGTAGAGTTTCAGATCTAAGAGAGCATGTTGACAAAAATACAAAGTGTACTCACTGAGGACGAAGAAGATCAAACTGTGGCAGACGTCCATGTTCGAGTCTCTGATGGTTGAACGCTGTCTCTCTTTCTTCTTCACCGGCAAACCAACATGTTTTCATTTCTCTAAACTATGGAGTCCCTGCTTAAAATACAACACAGCTTTACTCTCCTCTCTAACACCTGCATGTGTATCACATATGGTTCCACTTTAAAAATGTGCTACTTAATGCAGGAAAATAATATATTTAGCTTTTAACATTTACATTATTAAATTATTGTCAAACACATTTCAGAAATAATTTGTTTAAGAAAACTTTTATTTGTATCCCGAGAAATTGTGTTGTGCAGCAGATGCAGTACAGAGCAGGAAGAGTGCTAATATAAAATACAATATAAAAAATAAAACTCTATAAAAAAAAGGTGCAAATCCAAATCATTTTTTTTTTTTTATTTAACCTTTATTTAACCAGATAAAAACATTGAGATAAAATCTCATTTTCAATGCTGACCTGGCCAAGCAGGCAGCAACGTTACACATAACACATAACACAAACATATAAAATACAGAGAACATAACAAAGAAAACAAAAGAGGAAAAAGCAGTCACTACATTGTGCACATTAGGACAATAAAAAAAGTACACTACTTGTTACTGCAAGAGCAGCTGGTGGTGAGGACTTCAGACAACTTCAATTTAAAACATGCTATAGAGACAAGTGCCCTCAGTTTGAGGCGTGATTGAAGGTCATTCCAAGACCAAGGACCATAATAAGAAAGACTCCTTTTTCCAGCCTCAGTCCGTACAGTAGGTACCTGGAACCGTATCCAGGCACTGGATCTGAGGTTGTAAGAGTCACAAACTGGGGCAAATCTGACACATATGTAGAGTGGAAGCTTACCTAAAATGGCTTTATACATTAATAAAAACCAGTGCTGCATCCTACGCATAGTAAGTGAGGACCATCCAGTTAGGCTATACAGTGTGCAATGATGAGTCCTATAGGGTGCATTTGATATATAACGCAGTGCAGCATGGTAGAGTGGGTCAAGTTTGGCCAAAACAGTGGGACAGGCCAATCTATAAATGGTATCACCGTAGTCCAGCTGGGACAGGAATAAGCCAGAGACCAACCTTTTACGGGATGAAGTTGAAAAACAACATTTAAATCTGAAAAGGAAGCCAAGAGTGAATTTCAATTTCTTTGTTAAAACTTCAATATGGTGTTTAAAGTTCAGATTACTGTCCAACCAAAAGCCCAGATATTTGTAGGTATCAACAAACTCAACAGAAACGCCATCAAGGGTGTCAATGGAGAGGCAAGAGGAGGACGCTGACTTGGGAGCAAAAAGCATTGCTTTGGTTTTCTTACTGTTCAATAGCAGTTTAGAATCAAGAAGCGCATGCTGCAGCGTGATAAAATCTGATTTTAAATTGGAAACGGCCATATCCAGAGAAGGAGCACACGAGTATACAATAGTGTCATCAGCATACATATGATAGGTAGAAAATTGCATCTGATTACAAATATTGTTTACATATAATAAAAGAGCAAGGGCCCCAAGATAGAGCCCTGTGGAACTCCCTTCTCCAAGGTGACAGGGTCAGAGACAGTACTACCCAACCTGACGCATTGAGTACGGTCGGTTAGATAACTCTGAAACCAGCAAATGGCATTGTGACCGAAACGAGACACCAACATAACATTAGACATAATGTGGTGATCTACAGTGTCAAATGCTTTGGCTAGGTCAATAAACAATGCAACACAAACTGATTTCTTATCCAAAGCAGCCTTAATATCGTCTAAGACTTTCAGACTGGCAGTCACAGTACTGTGCTTTGATCTGAATCCAGATTGCATAGGGTTAAGGATGTTGTGTGAATTTAAAAAAAGTTTTAGCTGAGTAGAAACAAGGGACTCAAGAATCTTTGATAACACAGAAAGATTTGAGATAGGACGATAGTTATTCAACTCCGTGGGATCACCTGCTTTCAAGAGGGGCGATACCAGAGCTTGCTTCCACACAGCTGGCAGTGTGTGAGTGGACAGGGAGAGATTAAAAATATCAGTTACTGGTTGTGCTATCATCTGAGCTGCAATTTTTAAAAAGAACGGGTCAAGGCCGTCAGGCCCGGCAGACTTTTTAGGATCAATCGAGTGCAAACCCTGTAAGACTTCAGAGACCGAGAAATAAGCGAAATCAAAAACAGGGGAGTTCAACTCTTGACTATGGCTGTGAGGACGACCATTTAGAGAGTCATGACTTTGCTCATCAAAAATGTGACCAGCCTTTTTGAAGTGAGCATTAAAGGCATTAGACATACCATCTGAATCTGAAATAAAAGAATCACTGACCTTCAGTTTTTGTGGGAAACTAGAAACCTTCTTGTTCTGAAGTGATTTAATTGTTTTCCAGAATTTGGAATGGTCATTAAAACAATCAGTGGTTAAGCTCAGATAGTAATCAGCTTTAGCTTTTTTAATAAGGGCAGAACATTTATTTCTGAGGACACGAAAAAGAAGCCAGTCATCACTAGTGTTAGACTTTCTAGCTAAGGACCATTGCTTATTTCGATCATGAATGAGATCAGATAGTTCTCTAGTAAACCATGGAGTGTTCCTATTCTTAACTCTGAATTTTCTAGGTGGGGCATGTCTATTAATAATCGATAAAAAGTGATCAATAAAAAATTGGACGGCAATATCAACAGATGGAATTAACGCTGTGAAGTGCCATTTAACCTCCGCCAGATCGTGTAGGAAAGCCTGCTCAGAGAAGTGTTTGAAGCAGCGCCTGAGCACAATAAGGCCCTTGGCTTTGGGCAACTTAGTGCACCTAACGCAAGCGATAGTGCAATGGTCACTGATATCATTAGGAAAAACACCAACAGACACATACTTATGAGCTGCATTTGTTAGAATGACATCTATAAGGGTATCGTTATTGGGTTTGGCAGGGTTTATTCTCGTGGGACTATCAATAAGCTGAGTTAAGTTCAAAGAATCACAAACCTGCTTAAACTGTGAAGATTTATCACTTAACCAGTCCCAATTTAAATCACCCAATAAAATGATTTCAGAAGAAAACTTAGACAACAATTCAGTAAGGCTAGTAGTTGCATCCATGATGGCCGATGGAGGCCTATAACAGCCAATAACAGTGAGAGGAGCATTTGCTATAGTTATTTGGACTGCTAGCAACTCAAATTGCCTTGGAATTGAAATTGAGTGAAGGACAGAGCACTGTAGTTTCTCAGCAGTGTATATTGCAACACCACCAGCTCTGCCCTTACGATCAGCTCTGAATACATTATATCCATCAATCTGAATAACAGTGTCAGTGACAGAGGGTTTTAACCAGGTTTCAGAAACTACAACAATATCAGGCTTAGCAACTAAAAACCAGGTCTTGAAAACATCTAATTTGGGCACTAGGCTTCTAGCATTAACATGCAGAAAACCCAATCCTTGTCTACAGCTAAACTCATTCGGAGTTGGCAAATGATGCAAGGAAGCAGAGAAACACTCAGGACCAGGGTTAATGTTAACGTTACCAGAGAGTAATAGCATTAACAATATTAACAGTCTGGGAGATGATTTTTTCACATGTGCTCTGGACGCGTCACTCCTCAGAGGGGCGGGGCTGCTCCGATCCTTCGATATTAGCGAGTCCAGAGTCAAAAGGGCATACGGGAGTGCGCATTTCGTGCCATGAAACGTCAGCTTTTGGTAAAAACTATCCGATGGAGTCAGCGCGCCAGAGGTTCCACCATCCGAATGTCCGAAGTGAACAGAGGCATCGCTGGGAGGCAATAAATATATATAAACAATACAAACAGGTTAAAAGTCTGACACATTACACAACAGTATGAGGAGTGGCATCTTGAAACCCGTACTGACCACATCCATAGTTTCATATCTATTTATTTATATTCTGCTATAATTAAACATTTCTGTAAAATAAGCCTTTAACCAAAATAGTCAATTTAATAGTCAAAGCTAATTCGGAGCAACATATCTTATGCTAATCAGCTAACTTGACTAGAACAGTCTATCTTACAGAGATAACTTTAATACCATATCAAGTGTAATAAAATGAACTTTATAAATAAATTGAAGCCATAAAAGAGCTTTTTACATTAAACTACATATCATTTAGCTGATGCTTTTATCCAAAGGCACTTACAATAAGTGCAACCAGCTTTGACCTGAAGCAAACTGTTGAAGCGGCACGTTTGGGGACTAGAGCAGAGCTGGACTTATCATCACATGATGTCATTCAAAGCAGGTTTGAAATAAGTAAATGGTTAAATAATCGTACATATTCCCACAAACATCTCTTAGTTTCAGAATATCTTCACGGCTGCTTAATTCACACCAGCTTCTTCTGCCAGACTGTGAGAGTTATTGGGGGTTGTTAACAGTAGAGCACAGAGGGGGCTCATCAGAGCTAGCTTCCACCCGAGGAACAGAGTAGATAACACACTCAGCGTCACCGTGGAAACCGCTTTGGGACGAGCCCACACTGACAAATTTGATCTCAGAGTAGGCGTGTTGACTCGGGTCGTCTTCAGCCTGGAGGAAACAACATTGCTTGATTAAATGTGTCTTTAACAACAGAACAAAACAAGCAACTGGACTTGGTTGTGAAGTAATGTCATCAAAACAAAAATAAGTTGTGTTTGTTTAGGTATTTTTTCCATATTTAGATGTATTATATTACTGCAGACAATATTGTATTACTTGTTTATCCTTACTGTATTTTGTAAACTAGCTGCAGCAACAAAGTGGTATAATAATTGGTTTTGGCTCAATTTGGTTGTGTTTATTTGGCGTACAGTGTAAGGGTAAATTAAAGAGATTTCCCCAGGAGATCTCACATCGACCCTCGTACACTTAGTGGGTCTACAGAAGAATGTATTAATATGATGCTCAGATTTTCTCAAACTCACCTCTGGTGCAGAAGCACATTGTGTTTCCTCATGAGGTTCTGAAAAACACAACAGTACTTTGAGAAAAAGACTCAGAACAGATTTTCAAACATGACATCACACATTCACCATTTGAACCAATATTTAGGCCAACCATTAAATCTGAGTAAAACAAGATAAATAGATGTGTTTTGAGTTTGTAAACAACACAATATACAGTATATTTAATCATTAACCATCCTGCCAAATTGCAGTTACTAAAGAAACTTGATTAAGTATATAAAATAAAGTTTCAATTAAAAAAATAACAACCAATGGCTGTACATGTTTCTAAAATGCATATTAACTTTAAAAAAAGCCTCTGATCTGACTCCACTTGGTCTCCAAAATAGAGGAAGCTATCCTCTCAGCTCTCTCTATTTTTATGTGTTTGTGAAAAGCTTATTTTTATAAATGGCATACGTTTTGTAGATAGACTGTAGATAGGTGTGATATAGATTTAAATGTATGTTGTTGTTTTTTAAATCGTATTAATATGTAGTTGCAAAGATACTAACATGTTCTATGTTTGTGATGTTGCTACTTACAAAGCATAAATCTAGCAACAACTGAAGGATTGTCACTCTACAAGAACCAGTGATAACAAAACCTTTAGACTGAGCAGCAGTTGGGTTATTTAATGCTGTAAATGAATATCCGTAAACCAATCTGGTGATGGGGGATGGACATTTTGTCAAATTGGTCAAGAGAAAACTACAACTCTTCAGTGAGAAATGTTTTGTTTGTGTGTGTGTGTGTGTGTGTGTGTGTGTGTGTGTGTGTGTGTGTGTGTGTGTGTGTGTGTGTGTGTGTGTGTGTGTGTGTGTGTGTGTGTGTGTGTGTGTGTGTGTGTGTGTGTGTGTGTGTGTGTGTTACCTGGTTCCTCACTTTTGGCTTTACAAGTCCTCTTCCTGCAGAATACCAGCACAGACAGTGATGACACGATGACCAGGACGACCAGAGTCAGAGACAAATACAGGATCACACCTGTGGGTGTTTGAAGAATTACATATTCATCTAACACTTAGAAAAGGCATAGAACAATATGATGGAATCATTTGATGGCCATTCCCATGCTCTTTAATGTTCAAAAGTTGTTGAAACTTCTAGTAAACACAGTGTGTGGATGTACCTGTAGCAGTTGTTGATTCAGGTTGCTCTGTAGTTTTAGGAGAAGTGGTCAGAGCTGTGAACAAAAACAAGCAGACACAAAGAAGTCCTGATGAGAGAAATTAGATCCTCCCGAGTGTCTGTGTCTGTCGGCTGAACTTTTAAATTGAGTTTAAAACATTGTTTGAAGAGTTAAATGTAAACCATGACATCCAACACTTGAGTACCCATAATCCATTTTGTTTTTCAAGGGGGGGGGGGAGTTATCTTTAGGGGAAGACAACAGGTCAACAGTATTTGCCATATAGCCTACTGTAAAAATAGAGTAAATCTTTAGTATGCTGGGAACCTGATTTTTAGGTTCAGCCTTTTAGAATCAACTTTTGTAATGTGTTTTGAAAGATGCTAATTGAAATGTACAGGATGTGATTGTAGAGAAGGCAAAGAACGATATGATGGAAGAATGTGATGGCCATTCTATTGCTCTTTTATGTCTCACAGGTTGTTGAAACGTTATCTAGTAAACACAGTATGTGGATGTACCTTTAGTTTCTTCAGGATGCTTGGTGGTTTTAGGGGAGGCTGGTGTAGTTGTGGAACGTTCACTTTGGATTGTTGTTGTTGAGGAAGCTGATGGGACGGATGATGAAGGTGTAGAAGTGGTCAGAGCTGTGAACAAAAACAAGCAGACACAAAGAAGTCCTGATGAGAGAAATGAGATCCTCCTCTGTGTCTGTGAGTGTCAGCTGAACTATTTTAAATTGAGTTTAAAACATCAGCAGCTGTCAGTGAAAACTGTCTTCAGAGACATGAACACACATTTTAATTTTCAAGCAGAAACTCACCATCAGTGACGATGAGCCTAAACCTCTGGTATCGATCTTTAGAGTCAGTTCTAAGTTCTATAAGTTGTTGAAACGTTATCTAGTAAACACAGTGTGTGGATGTACCTGTAGCAGTTGTTAATTCAGGTTGCTCTGTAGTTTTAGGAGAAGTGGTCAGAGCTGTGAACAAAAACAAGCAGACACAAAGAAGTCCTGATGAGAGAAATGAGATCCTCCTGGGTGTCTGTCGGCTGAACTTTTAAATTGAGTTTAAAACATTGTTTGAAGAGTTAAATGTAAACCATGACATCCAACACTTGAGTACCCATAATCCATTTTGTTTTTCAAGGGGGGGGGAGTTATCTTTAGGGGAAGACAACAGGTCAACAGTATTTGCCATATAGCCTACTGTAAAAATAGAGTAAATCTTTAGTATGCTGGGAACCTGATTTTTAGGTTCAGCCTTTTAGAATCAACTTTTGTAATGTGTTTTGAAAGATGCTAATTGAAATGTACAGGATGTGATTGTAGAGAAGGCAAAGAACGATATGATGGAAGAATGTGATGGCCATTCTATTGCTCTTTTATGTCTCACAAGTTGTTGAAACGTTATCTAGTAAACACAGTATGTGGATGTACCTTTAGTTTCTTCAGGATGCTTGGTGGTTTTAGGGGAGGCTGGTGTAGTTGTGGAACGTTCACTTTGGATTGTTGTTGTTGAGGAAGCTGATGGGACGGATAATGAAGGTGTAGAAGTGGTCAGAGCTGTGAACAAAAACAAGCAGACACAAAGAAGTCCTGATGAGAGAAATGAGATCCTCCTCTGTGTCTGTGAGTGTCAGCTGAACTATTTTAAATTGAGTTTAAAACATCAGCAGCTGTCAGTGAAAACTGTCTTCAGAGACATGAACAAACATTTTAATTCTCAAGCAGAAACTCACCATCAGTGACGATGAGCCTAAACCTCTGGTATCGATCTTTAGAGTCAGTTCTAAGTTCTATAAGTTGTTGAAACGTTATCTAGTAAACACAGTGTGTGGATGTACCTGTAGTTGTTGTTTCAGATTGCTCTGTGGTTTTAGGGGAAGCTGGTGAAGATGTGGAGCTTTCACTTTGGTTTACTGTTGGTGTAGAGGCTGATGGGACGGATGATGAAGGAGAAGAAGAGAGCATTGTAAATTCAACATGTATATTTTCTACTTTCTTGTTTATTTCTAGTTTTTAAATTTGTATTTTACAATGCCATGTCTTTTTATGCTGCTGCAACACAAACATTACCCAAATTGGGATCAATAAAGTACTTTTTATCTTATCTTATCTCTAGAAGTGGTCAAAGCTTTGAACAAAAACAAGCAGACATAAAGAAGATCTGATGAGAGAAATTAGATCCTCCTGTATGTCTGTGTGTGTCAGCTGAACTCTTTTAAATTGAGAGTTTAAAACATCAGCAGCTGTCAGTGAAAACTGTCTTCAGAGACATGAACAAACATTTTCATTATCAAGCAGAAACTCACCATCAGTGACGTTGAGCCTAAACCTCTGGTATGGATCTTTAGAGTCAGGTCTGTCCAGACCACACCTGTACCATCCTGAGTCAGACTGGTTCAGCTGTTCGATGCTCACAAACACAAATCCTCCTTTAACATGTCTGATGCTGTATCTGTCTTTTTTAGTATATGTGTCAATAGTTGTTTCAACAAGAATGTCTCCTACACATTCCTCCTTACAGAAGTACCTCCTGGTCCCAAAGCGAGTAAAGGAGCATTCAACTACAATATTTCCTCCAGTTCTAGCATCGATTGTTTTTTCTGCAGAAGGGCCACCATCAAGTTTTGCTGTTGAAAAAGAAAACAATCAATAATTATTACTATTTGTAGTTTACAAATCGTAGTTTCATTATTTATAACTTTGTGTTTTTTCAAACTTGATCCAGTCGCTGAGGCTAAAGGTGTGACGATTTAATGAACCAGAGTTTTAACTAAATATTTTTCAAGGAGATTTAGCAACTCATTATTTTTACGCTGTGCTCAAAACAGGATTTGATTTAAATATATTTGGGATTAATATTAGATTTGAATGCTTTAATAAAATCCTTGGCTTTGTCATTTTGAGTTATAACTAGTGTCTGATTGAGGTTAACTGATAATTAAATATGTTTAAACTTTAGAGATTATCTGTTGCAAAGAATGACATTTATTTTGAAAGGATGTCTTTACCCCTTGAAAGTATTGTTTTTATATTATTATTTACCCTGAGTGACCTTGAATTAATATGCTCATAACTTCCCTAAAACCTTACTTATCTAAACACTTCTGCATTAACTGTTCTTGAGAAAAGAGGAGCTCGTCTCTTTAAGCAGAAGTGTTTTAAACTGTGAGGTTTAAGCAGAATGCATGTTTTAGGGAAGTACTGAGCATACAGTGAATGACATTAGGACTATACAGCATTAGTTGTGTTAGAGTTAGTTAACGGATGTTTTCATATATTTTTGGTGTTGTAAAACAAAGCCCCAGTTAATTTAACATTTATTAAGACTTTTCTCCATTTTGGGATTCTTTGTTCACCGTGGAGTCATGCTAGAAAAAGTTTTTTTCACAAATTCAAGGTAACACAGGATGAGTAATTCATTAATCGAAACATTTTAATGTGGGGTAAAGTAATCCTTTAAAGCCCCGACAGCAGCCACAAACTGCCAGTTTAGTTGTTAATATTGTCTTTTGATCTCAATCTATTACTAATTGTGTTACTTTTCAACAGAACAGAGCGCTGTCTCATAGACTGTACTACATTCAGCAATGGAAAACACACAACAGACCAATATGCTCCTGCTCCTGGTATTAACTTCTTCATCTCTAAAATATCCCTTGAAACAACAATAAGTGTGTTTTTTACAATAATATTCAAATACACTTGTGTACGTGTGTCAGTTTTGGTTTATCTGTTACTTTCAGAAGACATGTAGGATTAAGATGAGGTAAATATTCATGTTGAACTTGAGTTTTAAACTGATCTAAACTGTAGCTCATGTGCACATGACAATAAAGCATTGAAATTGAAAAAAAAGAAGGTGAAAAGGTAAAACTATTATTTAGACAAGGAAGAACATTCAGTTTTTAGTAGAAACTCACCATCCACAACGATGATTTCAATAAGCTTGGATGAATTCCTTGAAGAAGATGCAGTCGAACCACACCTGTACTTTCCTGAGTCAGACTTGGTCAGCTGAGTGATGGTCACAAGAAAATCATCCTGTTTATGATCAATGCTGTATCTGGCTCTCTGATAATCTTTGGCATCAGTTGTTTCAATGAGAATGTCTTCTTGTTTACATGTTTCCTTACAAAAAAAAACTGCTTTTTTTATAAGAAGGAAAGGAGCATTCAACTCTGACATTTTCTCCTTCAATTACTGAATAGACAGTGAGTTTGGCACTGACGAGACCGGTGTTTCCATCCTGCAGAGCTGAACAAAAGATGAAGAAAGGATGAACCATCATTAGTAGTGGTCAGTACTTCCTGTAAGATGCTGCAGTCTGAAAACAACACTTCCTGTTTCACATTAACACAGATCAAATTAACATTAGTGGCATGTATATATATATAGTAAGAATAAAGATCAAAGGATTAATAAAGGAACCAAGAAAATAATTTGGAGATTAAATTATTATGAAAATAATCAGTAGCAGTAAAATCAAGCATGTACATTATTTTACAAAATAACCAGTCGTTGTGACTTAGTTTTACTCATTCAGTAAGACGATAATAACTGAGTTTAATGATGATGTACAGTTTGTTTGAGGAAGTGAAACATACATTTGAAGCTACTAAAAAGCCTAACTTTGAAATATTTGAACAACTCGTACTGCTGGAGGAAACATTTCAATTACTGACATGAAAATAAAGAGAAGTACTCACAGAAGAGGAAGAAGCAGATCAAAGTGTGAGAAATGTTCATGCTGAGACTCTGATGGTTTATCACTGACTGTCTTTCTTCACTGGAAACTTGTTACTTCTTTAAATGATGAAGTCCCTCCTCCAAACACAACACACAGCTCTACTCTCCTCCTCAACGCAGAAACACATGGTCTAAAAATACTCCATTGAATGTAGGCCTACTGAATTGAACTTTCAGTTTCAGTAATCATTATGCATAATAGCTCCTTTCATTGTGTTGTTTTATTATAGAATATATGGTTCTGTTTTTATGTCTCATGAATACATGTAGGAGCATTTTAATGTTGTAGTGCATAGGTCACCAACAGGCGGACCGATACAGACCCGTACCTCTCATCAATACATTATTAAGGGATCTTCTATTTTAACCGGTGCAGACAGGGGGCGAAAGAGAGAGAGCGACACGGGGATGTCCTCGTTCACTCCAGCTTCTCAACGACGCCCTTTATTGCTGGCGTGTTCACAGTCCATCACCTGTCACTGGACTGCACTCCAAATAAATCCTTTCAGACGTGTGATTTAGTTTCCACATGTTTATTGAAATGAATTCATCCGTCTATTTTATTACAGTTTTCAATGTAATATTACTTGAAATTAGCAATTCATACTTTACTATAATATTCAGATAAATCATTAATGTTCATGCAGTGCTTGGAATTTTCTTGTAATTATTTTTGAACAGTTAGTAAGGGAGTAGGAAGTTGGGAAGGGGGCATCGGCATCTCGAATTGGCCTCGGTGATCCCGTAAGAAAACGTTCAGTAGTCTTCGTTTCTCTTCAGTCTCATAGTGAAGCCTAAATGGTTTCACGAAGCCTACAAGGGAACCCTAAAACTGTTGTTTTGGAAATCTTAGACCTAGTCAATACTCAGGAGATATACAATCAGAATGATCAATCAATAAAATGGTGGAAACAGAGTTGTCTTTCTGGATCTTTATTTGAAGCTTCAAATAAGGCACAGGTCTTACGGAGTACAGAGTATTCTGAAAGAGTGCGCACAGAGAGAGAATTGCGCATAGGTTTTATATCATCTTTGTCAGTCCACAGTTCAACAATAACTCGTGACCTGTCACTCTGGGGGGGCTGGATGGGCAGATAAGCTAAAGCCCACATTCCAGAGGAACAGAAGCCACATATGGGCAATGTAGTAAATCAGGAACTTAGTAAAACAGGAACTGGGTAAAGACAGATGGAAGTGTTGAAACTTTAACCCCCAATGTGTTAAAGCCAGGTGAAATGAGGACAGCAGGAAGTCATAGAGAGGTCAAAACAGATATAAACAAGGAATGACAACACACTCTCACTCCCAACGCGTCCAGGAGCGACGCTTGGTCAGAATTCCGTGGCGTCCAGTTGTGACGCGCCGAGTTTCCATCAGCGTCATAAACGGACGCAAAGAGCTTTCAACTGATTGCAATGTATTCCCATCGGCGTCGGTATTTGACGCTTAGGGAAGCACGGCATTCGTTTGTGTCGGCAGCTGTTAAAGGCAATGTGAGCGTCCATTCCCATTGGATAACGGAGAATTGTACACCCGGAAGTAAGTATTCTCCTTACTGTCGATTGATTTGACAGTGATATCTCCATTACTCATCCACTCAAAAACACCAGATTACCTTTGTTAATTAAACGACATTGATAGGTTTAAATTGTGTACAATGCTTTTGTGTTTTTCCCCTACAATTCTGAGACAACTTGTTTTCTCTGAAATGTGGAGCGCCAAAGAGACTACACTACCCACAATCCCCAGCTATTGTTGTGACGACTTTTGAGTTTTGGATGGCCGAAGACACTACACTACCCACAATCCCCAGCTATTGTTGTTACGACTTCTGTCCGCTTTGCGATTACATTACCCACAATCCTCAGGTACCGTCGTAAAGACGGCATACCTTTGCACTTTACGTGACCAAACCTGGATGAGAGAGTCGCAGTTCTTCAGAATCAAGGTAAGAGCATGGGTAACACATAGTTATAGGAAATAAACTTAGCCACGAATAATAATAATAATAATAATAATAATCTAATCGGCGCCAATGTTGCTTCTGGCACCTTTCTGAGGGGTATAGTAACTAAATAATATAGGGTATTACCTAAATATAACAAATGAACTCGCCTGAGCTAGCTTGCTAGCTAGCTAGCTAGAACACGCACTGCAATTTCTCCATAGAATTTTGGAAAATAGCTCGAAATAAGGTCTGTGGTTGACACACATTTAAGAGACGGATCACGTTTTGTTCAGCCGGATAATCTCCACTCTACTAGGGTATTACCTAAATATAACAAATGAACTCGCCTGAGCTAGCTAGCTAGCTAGCTCAGAGACGGATCACGTTTTGTTCAGCCGGATAATCTCCACATGTCTACTCTGCTTTTATAATTTTCGAATCGTAAATCTATTAATAATACTTTGTATACATGTGTTTTTAGTATTAATAGTAATAATACTTTTATAATTTTTGTACAAATTACTTATTTAAATGACTGGTGGCAGTGATTTTGCTGTGCGATGGTGTGAAAATACCTTTAATGACAACAGTAGTAAGTAAGTAGAAAATTGTAAACAACAACAATTACACTGGCATTGTTATTTTATTTTTGAGTTTCTAAATTATGATGTTTTCTCTCAACAGATCCTGCAATTTGTTCTCCAAAAAACAACCCTTTGTTTTTCCAAACTCCAAACAACCCAAAGGCACTTTTAAGAGCCAAGTCTGTCTTGTTAAACTGTCCTTGCTGTGTTGTACTTGATAGTCTCTTCCTATCTCTCTATTTATTTCTCTGTCTATCTCTGTTATCAGTCTTTCTTCTGTGTCTCTGTCTGTGTCTCTTCACTATAATGAGTGATTCTGATCTTGAGGATCTCCTGAGAAGCGCAGATGAGCTGGTTGAGCAGAAAGAGTTAAGGGATGACCTACGGAGTGCTGATGATTTGCTTTGTACTGCTACTGCTGCTGTTGTTGCCGCTTCCACTTGGAAGCGGCAACAACAGCAGCAGTAGCAGTAGCAGCAGCAGCAGCAGCAGCAGCAGCAGCAGCAGTGCCAGCAGTGTCAATGATGTGCTGGAAGAAGAGAGACAGTGAGGGAAACTTGATCTTTGCAAGACCACGTTCAACCCGGAATGTCTCAAATCAGGGTCAGTATAAGATATATATTTCTAGGCACTTGAGTATATGAAATGAATGAAAACATAACTCTTGGTAAGGGAAAAGTAGTACAATTTAATGGTATAAAATAAATGTTTTTTCTGATACAGCTGGCTGCAGTCGTAACACTGATCCCCCCGTTGCTGCTCCTGACTGTGATCTGATCTTTGCTCCAGCTATCGCTCCAGAGACTGTTGGTATGTACTTCATTTGGTCTGGTTAGCCCGAAACACATATTCATACTTGTATCTTTATGTGATACGTACTTCATTTCTAAACTTCATAATTTGCTAGAATTAAGAACACAGTAGTTACAGCTTTCAAAACCACTCCATCCAGTATGTTTTAAAGAAAACTAATCATTGTGCTTTGGACTTTATTGTACCGTTTTAACAGAGGGGTTTCTACGAGATCTCCAGCAGTCTCTGAGCGATACTACAGGAGATGAGGTGGTAGCACAAACCCCAAGTGCTTCTCTGCTGGCATCGACCAACTGGAGCACTCGAAAAAGTTTTTTTTCAGAGAGCTGGAGGGCAGCGAGACCACATCTAGTTAACACCGTAGTGGCCCAAGCAAATGTGGGAACACACATTTGCCAACAGTGTTGGGGCAAAACGTCTGTTGTCCGGTGCCGGGATTGCCGACCACATCCCTTCTTCTGTGCTGACTGTGATGTCAGCATGCACACCAGACACCCCCTCCACAACAGAGATGCTACTACTGCAGGTTACTTCCAGCCATTGGCCCCAACAACACATGTACTAAATATGGCCCTTTGCTCCTGTGGTAAGTTCTGGTTTGTGAATGTACATTTTCTTGCTGGACTTGTTGAGAATTTCATTTTGAAAATGTGAGCTTCCTCAACATCTCTGTGTTAATTCCCAGCAGTGTGCTTAAGTCTCTTTTTAATGTTCTGATGTAAAGTTAAATCCTAAATATGTCACATAACAATGTAGTATTTTTCAAAAGAGACAAATTATTTTTAATTCCCATTTGAATTTTTTTCCAGTGCGGTTTGTACCTGTGGAGATCCCGGACAAAATCTGTGGTTGTGCATCAGAGTCATTGAGCCTCAAGCCAGGAAAGACTGTGACTGTGATCACAATGAATGGTAAGAATGGGAAGAATGTTTGTCTCTTTTCTTAAGATAGATGTTATTGAAGTTTCTTCTTGATAATATCCAACCCTTCTCAAAGACATGTGGGATAGCTTGTCTATTAAACCTTAACATGGGTATTGAGTAAAGAATACCAAATGTATTAAAAACACCTTGTCTGTTTTTCAAGGACGACATGAGCTAAGCATGCCAGAGTTGGCTTGTGAAACATGCGCTGCGACATGGATGACTGGGGTTGACGACCTTCTTCGGAGTGACTACTGGCCAGCTACCCTTCACTTCGCCACCATTTATGCCACAGATGTTTTCTTCTCATTTGAAGAAATGAAAATGGCTGCACCTGGACTATCCTTTCAGGCATATTTAAGGATGCTCGATCAGCGAACGTTGCGCTTCGGCCGTGTGAGTATTGAAGTTACTTGTCCTTTTTGATCTATTTGTATTGTACAAATTGTAAGCTGTGTCCTTATAATTTATAATTTATTTTTGACATTATCTGTTGATGTCCTTATTTTGTTATAGACTGGGAAGATCTCAACTGACAGCTTCATCAAAAGTTTCTTTGAGTGGGAGGCTGTGCGTTATGAGGTCGACATCATGTGCAAGGAGGAGCCCTTCACCTGTCCTGCGTGTAGCCCTGATATGCTTGCAGTTTCCGTGGATGGAAACCGCAAGCATTACCGTTTCAAGAATGCAGCTAGGTACTATAGAAAATATATAATGTCACAGTATTTGAACAAATAACGAAACAAAACT